GGGGCTACACGGCAAACCTCCGAGGGCCGGCCCGTTCTTGTTGCGCGACGCTCGGATCATGGAGAAGTGTTCGGCGGCCGAGAGGATTTCCCTTTTGGCCATGGCTACGTCTTCTTTCCGCCCGGTGACGACGAAGACGGGTTCTTCTCCTCGCACCGGTGTCTTGATGTAGGTGTTCGTCTTGGCCCTCAACGCTTTGATTTTGCAACCTGTTTTTTTTTTAAAAAAAAAAAAAAACACAGGCAAGGTTAGCGAGCTGCCCGACTTCGGAAAACCATGAGGCGTCTATTTTAAGCGGCTCAAGAGTTTTGAGAAAGCCGCGGGTGAAAACCCGTGTTTCATGCGACCCACGTTACAAGAAAACGCGGTAACATCTTCCACCTGGTAGTTGCAACCAGACCTCGGACGTAGCCACAAACTATTTTTTGCGACGTCTTTCGGGCTCTTTTTGGCCCCTCGATCGCCGTCGGACAGCTTTTTATTTTATTTTTAGTTTTTTGCAGACCGAGCGTTTAAGCGTCGTTTCGCTCGTGGAGTGAAATTTCTGTCTTTATCGCTTATTTAAAACATTTCACAAAAAAAGTAAAGTCTCTAAATGGTATTTCGTCACCCAAAGCGCCGCGAACAAGAGTTTCGCGGCCTCAAAACCACCCCGAGACGCGCTTTCACCAGGATTATCTCCTACTAATAGATAATAGCTACTAATAGGTTACTCCAAATAGGTGGTGGGCTCAAATTTTAAACCCACCGGGCTCCCCCGGTGAAATTTTCACACCTGAACCTCAAATATATCAATTATTCTCCACTTTAACACAAATTAATTTAATCTACTCCATTCCAGCCTGGGCTGGATCGTTCCCTTCCAGCCTCCTCCCTTTCCCTTCCCAATTTAAGAGGATTATTTCACATTTTAAACCCGAGAAACTTCAGGGTAGCTCTGAAGGAATTCTTTACCAATTTTAAACGACCAAATACTTCCTTATTAAAAGGATAAAAAACGCGACAGGGTTTTTTTTCCCCCCTCAAAGTGAAAATTAAGCAGTTCTTGCCCCCCAGCTCTAAATTCCACCTTTCGCCGGCGTCGAACGGGACGAGAGGCGTCCAACTCGGTTTATTCGAGGAGGGAAACTCCCCAACGGAGCTGGCAGGCTCTGTCTCGCTTCGCGCCAGCCGACCCGAGCCAAGAACCGCCCGAAAAAAAGAATGTCCCTGCCTCCTCGTCTGCGGAACCGGAGCGGGCAGGCCCTTCCTCGCTTCGCGCCAGCCGACCCAAGCCAAGAACCGCCCGAAAAAAGCATCTCCCGGCCTCCTTGTCTGCGGTAATCCAGGAAAAAAAAAAAAAGGGGATCTCCCCTTCGGTTTCTTTCTCCTGGCGAATTCTCCGCGGCTCCGTTTCCGCACGAGGAGCCCTCCGTCGCGGGGTTTCTCCCGTGAAACGTTGCGAGCGTAGGGTCGGAAAAAAGCGTCACGCGCCCCGTTTTTCAAGCAACGGGACGACCAAATCCTATTCTGAATTGTTTGATCTCCTTAAAAACGGGCCGGCTGCGGGAAAAAACCAAACATCAGAAGGTTTTTTGCCACTTGGCTGGGGGTTTACACGTGAAATACTACCTGTTGTCCGCTCAGACGGACCCTGGTTACTACCACTGCTCACCTAAGATCAATTAAATCATCGCACGCTTCGGTTTAAATCACACATTGGAAAATTTCAGCTTCAAAATTGCAACATTTTGGCCCTCTTGCTGCTGCCAGCTGGGAAAAGAGGAGAAAATTAAGATTCTCCGATGAGAAAGCAGCTCAGGGATGCTCCCCTCTTCTAAAAACCTCGTTTAAAACCCATGGATGAACTTTTTAGTAAAGGATTTCTTCGGTATTTATGGATTTATCGATCGATTTATGTATCCATACGGTATGGAACGGAGCAGCTGTTTCTTTCAGGCCGGGTCAATCAATCAACTCGACGCCGAAACGCTCCGATTCCCGACGCAGATGGCGACTCGGTAAACAAGTGAAAAAAAAAAAAAGAGCCCGAGGGCAGCGACTTGGCTTTTTAATTCTTTGCACCAGGGGGAAGGCAGCAGCTGCGGAGTGAAATTTGAGGGCTACAGTAGCAGGAAAAGCGGGAGATACAAAGGAGAAACCAGCTACAAAATAAAAAAACTTGAGGTTTAGGAACAGAGATGTGGGGAGCACACGTAGATTGCAAGAAAAAATAAATAAAATCAAACAATAAATCTCCACCTGCACCTACAGCCTGATTCGAAAAAGAACTGAAGTTGGAAACTCGATGCGGAGCTTTTTATCCGATAAAACCGTTCTAGTGCGCAGCCACCTTTTTTGATTTTCTCGTGCAAGTTTGCAACCCTATCCCTGTTACATTTTGTTTTTGCCCCAGGCGGGCGTGGAGGCAGGACATCAAAACCAAACTGAAGAACTCGGAACAAAGTTTCTCTTGCAGAAACGCCCCGAAAAATACACCCCAACCCCGAGAGCTTTTTGGAAAAGGAAGTTTTTTTCAGCTTTTAGAGGAAGTTGTTAACCTGCTTGTTACAGGGCAGCGATTAATAATCAGTTGAGGCTACGGAGGTACTGTCAGTAATATTAATATTAGTATATAATATAGACTAAAGTATAGATACATGTGTATTTATACATATATATGCATATCTAAGAATCTTATATGTATAAAAGAATAACTTTATATATAAAAGAAAGAGTATCTCCCATATATATAGGAGTATCGCCCATATATATAGGAATATCGCCCATATATATATAGGAATATCGCCCATATATATAGAAGAGTATCTTATAGAAGAAACTCATATATAGAAGAACCTCTCTCATACAGAATCTCTCTCATATATATAGAAGAACCTCTCTCATATATATAGAAGAATCTCATATATATAGAATCTCTCATATATACAGAAAAATCTCTCACATATAGAAAAATCTCTCACATATATATAAGAATCTCTAATATATAAAAGAATCTCTCTCATATTTATGGAAGAATCTCTCCTATATAGAAGAAACTCATATATAGAGAAGAATCTCTCTCATATATAGAGAAGAATCTCTCTCATATATAGAGAAGAATCTCTCTCATATATAGAGAAGAATCTCTCTCATATATAGAGAAGAATCTCTCTCATATATAGAGAAGAATCTCTCTCATATATAGAGAAGAATCTCTCTCATATATAGAGAAGAATCTCTCTCATATATAGAGAAGAATCTCTCTCATATATAGAGAAGAATCTCTCTCATATATAGAGAAGAATCTCTCTCATATATAGAGAAGAATCTCTCTCATATATAGAGAAGAATCTCTCTCATATATAGAGAAGAATCTCTCTCATATATAGAGAAGAATCTCTCTCATATATAGAGAAGAATCTCTCTCATATATAGAGAAGAATCTCTCTCATATATAGAGAAGAATCTCTCTCATATATAGAGAAGAATCTCTCTCATATATAGAGAAGAATCTCTCTCATATATAGAGAAGAATCTCTCTCATATATAGAGAAGAATCTCTCTCATATATAGAGAAGAATCTCTCTCATATATAGAGAAGAATCTCTCTCATATATAGAGAAGAATCTCTCTCCTATATAGTAAGAATCTCTCTCCTTTATAGTAAGAATCTCTCCTATATAGAAGAAACTCATATATAGAGAAGAATCTCTCTCATATATATATAGAAGAATCTCTCTCATATATATATATAGAAGAATCTCTCTCATATATAGAAGAATTTCATATAGAGAAGAATCTCTCATATATAAGATACAAACCCCAGACAGTTCTTTTTCTTTGCTTCAAGTTTCAAGCAAAGTAACATTCGGCACAGGAGCAAAGAGCGCAAAAAAGGAGTTTGAGACCAAGAAACACACATTAAAAAAAAAAAAATCTTATTTCAGTCGCGAGGCTGCCTCTCCCCTGAAGCGGCTTTGTCGTTATCGATTGGATGATCTCATCCCTCCTCCTCTTACTCCTCTGGGGTTTGGAGAGCGCCCTGCCCGTTCCCAGTTCCAACCATCTCGACTGTTCTTACTGCGGAAAGAGAAGCGTCAGGCTTTAAAGTTAACAAGAAGAAATAAAAAATATCTTTCCCTTTCCTTGTTCAGCTTGGAGGATCCTCCACTTTCCAAGAATTATGTCACACTCAGCTTTGGTTTTGGGGTGGGAGTGGAATAAGAAAGGGTTGAGAACATTTAGGATTTTAAAAAAACAACAAAAGTGCAAAAACTCACTTTCAGAAATACTATAGGATTTTTTTTAAAAAAAACACCACCTACTATTATTAATTTTTAAGTCTTTTGCAGTGATGAAAATGCTTCCAGCAGCAACCGCTGGCACAGTTTCACTTCACAAGCGAACCATCGAGCCACGAGGTGATTTTTTTTGGGTTAAATTTGGGTGAAGAATACTGTGGAATTCTGATTATCGTTACTGTGTCAGTTACAGGGTTAGGATTTATAATAAATATATTTTCAGACACAGCAGCAAAGCCTCCAGCAAAGCTTAAGTCAACCTGAGCCTTCCTGGTATTTCAAAAAGCTTTCCAGGCTGCAGATATTTTCACCTTCTTTTTTTTTTTTCCTACCTCACCAAGACAGTAAGAGAAAGAACGTAAACCGCAGCGTGGCAAAAAATCCGTCGGGGTTAAAAAAAAAAATCAAAATAAATCCCAATTGCATCGCCCTGATATCGAAGTATCAGGGAGAGGAGGAGCCCCGTGTAAAACTTCGGCTGAATTCCGTCTCATTTTGCAGAGAGAGACAAAAAAGGAGAGGTGAGATCTAGCAATTCTAAGAAAAGTGGCAAATAATTAGCGAAAATACAACTTATATAAGTCGGTCTCTAAGTCTAAGTCTCCCCTGAATGAGAATTTTGAAGGGCCTCCTTACGCAAAGCTTTCGCACGAGTATATTTGGTAACCGGTGGTTTTTTTGTTGGTTTTTTTTTTTTAGCTCTCCCTCCACTCCTTCCTCTTCTGTAGCTCTAATTCTTTTTCGGATCCCACCCCTGCGAACCATTTTATCGCGAAGCCAAACAGCCGTGACCCGGGATAAGAAATAAAAAGCAGAAGCAGCGAACGAACCCTTTAAGGAACAACGATCCCACTTTTACCCAAACTCCATTATCCTGTTTTTAAGCGACTCAGAGCACCGAAAAAATACACTACAGAGAACAATCC